TTCTTCAATTATATCGTATTTATTTTATTATTATTATTAAATTTTTATTTATTATTATTATTATTATTATTATTATTATTACTATTGTTATTTTATTTTTACTATTGTTATTATTAGCAATAGCAGAAATGTTCGATTCTTTGCTGTGTTCAAGAGTAAACACATGATGTCACAATCTAATACCTTTCCTAATAGCCATTCCAATATGCAGTCATGAATGGGTATACATTATTTATTCTGTAATTTAATAGCAAATAATGAACAAACAAAACACTCACCACACTGAGTGGTGGGAGGGCTGACTGCCAGTTGCGGGGGTCAGAGGGAGGGTAGTAGGGACTCGCAGTGGTGGAGTCTGTGGTATTTAATAACATACTTGTTATTAACATACATGTTATTAAATGACATATGTTATTAAAGCGTAACATGTATATATTTAGTACAATTTACAACGTTTTCATGTATTTTATGATTTTTATGGTTCAACAAGTTAAGGAAGCAGTATTGTAATATATTTCCCTACAATATATTGGGGCACCAAACATTCATGGTTTTTCAACATTCGCGAGGCTCTTGATCCCCTAACCCTCGCGAATGTTGAGGGAGACCTGTACAACCATAAAAACAGTACAAAAATACGTACATTGCAAAGTTGCTGTTTTTAACTAAAAACACAGTTGCAATTTTTTTCACACTCACTGCATGCTGCAGGATTTTTTTATATGGTGCACACTTACCACATAGACCCATTCCCTCATATCTAGGCCCAAAGTCATTGCTCACCACTTATCTGAGTGAGCTGAGCTCACGCTGTAGAACAGTGGCATGGACCTCAGCTTCAAATACAGTGGTACCCCGAGTTTCGGCCATAATTTGTTCCAGAAGGCTGTTCGAGTGCCGGTACTGAACAAATTTGTTCCCATAAAGAATAATGTAAATTAGATTAGTCCGTTTCAGACCCCCAAAAATACACTTACAAAAGCACTTACAAAAATACACTTACATAATTGTTTGAGTTGGGAGGTGGCTGAAACTAGGGGTACCACTATACATAGAACAGCAACACAGACCCTCAAGTGGTTAAAACAAATTATATGTTTACGTTTTACAATTTATTGATGATAATATGTTATTTTTCAGTTTTTTTTTAATTGCTTTTAATGTTTAACGTCATATATATATACAGTGGTACCTTGACTTACAAGTGCCCCAACTAACGAGTTTTCCAAGTTACGAGTCATCGCTCGGTTCACTTTTTGCTTTGAGTTGCAAGCCAAAATCTGAGTTACAAGTGAGATTCAGATACGCTGCCACTAGTTGTCACAGCGAATGGCACAACATCTGCCCAGTATCCCAGTGCTTTTATTTCAGGGTTTTCCTTATGAAACTAGCGATCTAGTGCAGTTAGCCTCACAAACATCCCATTTTGTCTTATAATAAGACCTCAGAAGGGCAAGAATGGGAAGATATGGTCAGAGCGACAATTATTTTTACTTCGGGAGTGGCTGCCACCACTCATCACATAATGACATATTTTATTCATTCTACAGTATATATTGTGTTTCTGTGTTACAGCCACTCCTCACTTAACGATGGAGTTTCATTCCTAAGACCACATCGGTAAACGAATTCATCACTAAGTGAGGAACATACTATAATAGTAGTGGGTATGTGCCAGTCATCTTTGATATTGTATTGTTTTAATATCACCTTTGCACCATTTATAACATTTCTGGCATATTTTAAAATGTTTATACAGTAGCGCACTGTATACTGTAATAAACAGAATAGAAGAAATCAGCTCTTGTATGCATTATCTGTGTACTGGTCAGAGAGCCCGTCATAAGTCCAAGTCGTCAGTAAACGAGTACGTTGGTAAGTGAGGAGAGGATGTATTTATATTGTTTACTATCTCAGATTAATTGTGATTAATAAATAAGCTGTAGAGTTGATATTAGCATTATACTGAAGTATTTACTCCTGCCTCCTGAGAGCCAGAAATTCTGCTGTAACGGATTAATGACATTTCAGTTAATTTCAATGAGGAAAATTGATTTGATATATGAGCAAATTGAGTTACAAGTTTGGTCACAGAACGAATTAAACACATAAGCCAAGGTACCACTGTACTAGTTTTTTATAATATGGCATGAATGATTTTTATTCGTTTTTACTATTTTGATCAAAGGCTAAGTACAAAAAATACTTACATCACAATTATTTTATATGTAATATTCATCTAAACATGAGAATTATTCACATTGACTTTACTGGGTTATCCTGGGTAATATACCTAGTGTGTTTTGTGGCTGAATACCACTGTTACCATCATGAAATTGTAGTAAATTTGGACTGAATAAGTCATCTTTGAGCCATTAGCTCACCTTGTTTGCTGGTAGGGAAGCTGGTAGTGGAACAACAGCTCCTTGATCCTTTGTTTACTTTTGCTAGTGAAGCATACTAGTGTGTAGGACATAGTCATCCCATGAGTTGTTAACCATGATATATTGTGTGGACTCTGCTGGCCTTAGATTTTTTTCAAATTTCTGAATAGATGGAAGAAGACCCAAAGAGTTGTCCTGAGGCAGATTTGTGGGTACGAAAAATGATGTGTACTGGTACAGTTAGTTACAGTACCACCACCTGTGTACTAGTATGGTTGGTCACACTACCACCCCCTGTGTACTAGTACGGTCGGTCACAGTACCACCACCTGTGTACTAGTACGGTCGGTCACAGTACCAACACCTGTGTACTAGTATGGTTGGTCACAGTACCACCACCTGTGTACTAGTACAGTCAGGCACAGTACCACCACCTGTGTACTAGTATGGTTGGTCACACTACCACCTCCTGTGTACTAGTATGGTCGATCACAGTACCACCACCTGTGTACTAGTACAGTCACAGTACCAACACCTGTGTACTAGTATGGTCAGTTACAGTACCACCATCTGTGTACTAGTATGGTTGGTCACAGTACCACCACCTGTGTACTAGCATGATCAGTCACAGTATCACCACCTGTGTACTAGTATGGTCAGTTACAGTACCACCACCTGTGTACTAGTATGGTCAGTTACATTACCACCACCTGTGTGCTAGTACACCGCACACAATTAAAAGATTAACCCTTTGACTGTCGCGGCTGTGTATATACGTCTTACGAGGTACCGTGTTTGACGTATATATACTCATAAATTCTAGTGGCTTCAAATCAAGAAGGAGAAAGCTGGTAGGCCCACATGTGAGAGAATGGGTCTGTGTGGTCAGTGTGCACCACATAAAAAAAATCCTGGAGCACGCAGTGCATAATGAGAAAAAAAAACTTCGACCGTTTTTTTTTTAATTAAAATGCCGACTTTGTGGTCTATTTTTGTATAGTATTTATGGTTGTATTCTCGTTTTCTTGTCTCATTTGATAGAATGGAAAACATATTATAGAAAAAGAGATGATTTTGATTGATTTTACTATAAAAAGAACCTTGAAATGGAGCTCAAAGTAGGGGAAATGTTTAATTTTTGCTGATGTTCAAAAGTAAACAAATGACATCATTGTCCAATAAATGTCCAACTAGCCATTCTAATATGCAGTCATGAATGGGTTGATGTTATTTTATATAATTATTACAATATTGCAGTAGTCTGCATAATAGTAAATCTTCTATTTTTTGTTTGAATAAAAATTCAAAATAGAAAGCAAGAGTAATATCAGAGGGGCCTGGAGACATGACTGATGAACAAAGAAAATGTTATTTTAGAGCCAGGAATGTCTGCATTGTTCATTCTGGACCTTATTTTGAAATTGTCATATTTTTTAATTTTCGTGAAATTGGCCAAATTGCAAATTTCTGACCACGTTATTGGGTAGTTGAAATTGGTAAATGGGCAGTTTCTTGTACTCAAGTGATAGAAAAAACGGAGTTCTAAAGAAATAGCTATGAGTTTGGTCGACTGGAACAATGGAATTAGCCGAAAATAGGGCTCAAAGTGGGCGAAATCGCCGATTTGTAAATATCACCAAGGTTGCTAACTTCGCCAGAGCGTAATTCCATCAGTTTTCCATCAAATTTCGTTTTTTTTTTGTGTCATTACAATCGGGAAAAGATTCTCTATCATTTCATAAGAATTTTTTTTTTTTTTTTTTTTTTTTTTTAAATTTTGTGACACCAGGAGACACCTCAGGATTGGGGTTGCGACAGTCAAGGGGTTAAAGGGTTAATAGTCTGTGTCTAATTCTTAATTTAAGTAGCCTTTAAGCAGTAGGATTAGTTCGCTCAAGATACATTGCATACAAGTGACTTTCTTTTGTGCCTTCCAGTGTTTTATTACATGTCAACTACATTATTTTTGTTCCACATAAAGAAATAAAAATTTGTTTTTATATTTCATCAGTCATCGGTAATGGTACAGATTGGAAAAATTCTGCTGATAGTGACATGGTATTTCATGTTGCTATCACTTGTTTCATCACCCAGAGCTATTAAATCAAGGTCACAATCACTGTCTTTATCATGACTGTTCACCACTTCCAAAAATCATGGGAGGTTAATTTTTGCTTCCTTTTTGGTGTATTACTTTAAGTTGAAAGCTGTGGATCATCTAAGTTTGAAAGCATTATTTTGTGGCAATCCTAGTGTAAATTTTTCTCAGTTTTTCTCAAAACTGAAGAAATCCACTTTAGAATTACTTTGAAGTTACATTGAAAAGTCTATTTCTGTTTGCACATCAACACTCAGTGACTGTTTCCATAATGCACTGTGTGTGGGGCATGATTTTTATGAGCTGTGCACACTGACCTGTTCTCTCATATATAAGCCTTAATTTGGCACTCACAACAGTTTTGAAGAAACTATGAATTTTTATAGTCAATAACAGAAACATATTATGTGACAGACAGTTTGGTTGAAGTGGTGGGTTGCATGCATACATTAATAGCAAATGGCACATAATGCACTTTTGTTTACAGTGTGTCTAGATATTGAAAAAAGAGTTAAATTCTAGCCCTGCTAATCTCTTGTTGTTTTGTTTTGCAGCCTATCTTTTTATTAGAAGATTTGTGCAAGCCAGCATCCAGTGATGTAAAAGAACAAGAAAGTGGCAGAAATACTTCAGATACATAGTTTCAGCAGTGTGAGACATAATGCAGCACACAACATTGACAGAATCATTACTTGTCGAGTTACAGTACCTAGTACAGGTGTCGCTTGTTTTATGTTGTTATATCTGAACAAAGCATATCAGCAGTGTACTAGTAACCTGCCACATGAACTACTAGCTATTGAAATCTGAACAAAGTATATCAGCAGTGTACTAGTAACCTGCCACATGAACTACTAGCTATTACATCTGAACAAAGTATATCAGCAGTGTACTAGTAACCTGCCACATGAACTACTAGCTGTTACATCTGAACAAATTATATCAACAGTGTAATGTTACATGAACTACCAATTGTTACAAATCAAACAATGGGTAGTGTTTCTACACAGAATTGCCACAATAGACAAGAGTCACATTCTTCCTTTACCCCAGCAAACAAGTGTGACACTAGAACTTATTTAAACTAAATCACCTATGTGTTAAGACAAGTTCCCCATTGTCTCACTTTTGTTAGAGTAAATTTTTGTAAATTTAATCTTGGTGAAGCATTGTTTCACTATTGGGAAACTATATCAGTTTTCTGTGTACAAAAATATGAAACAAAATCTTCATATAGAACTGTTAAGAGCTTATGTAAGAAAAGCTGTACAGACCATACCAGTTTAGTATTTGCTACTGAATATAAAAATAATTATATTGAAGAGATTATATCATTAGAAAGTATATAAATGATGTAAAAAATGCAAATTGAGCATGTTAATATGTGCTTTGTGGATTCAAAATTGTGAAATATGTAATAGGTGTGTTGTATAAAGTAAATTATTAAATATAATTTATTGAATTTGACTTTGTGGACTTTATGTTAAAAACTGTATGAGTTTACATGTTTATTAACAGTTGTAATAGCTTTCATTACAGCTTTCTTATTCTGCTGTGCCTTTCCTCTAAATTCTTTTTAATAAACATATTTGTAGAGATAAGAAGAGAACTAAAGGTCATGGTGCCTTGTCTTCAGTATTTGATGTAACTTAATTTTTTATTTTCCATTTATAGTACTTAACTACCTCATCTTGTAATGTATTCTAATATTCTACTACTCTTTGCAGGGAATATCTTAATAATACTATCTTAGATTATAGCTGTGACCTTTTCTTCTGTTGATGGTGTTTGGAAATATTCCCTAGCAAATATTTCATACCCTCATATAGTCTTATCTGTTTGTCAGGGTTCGTGTTTGGAAAGTGATGGTAGCACGAATACATTTGTTGATTGTTGTGGAGTGGATATGATGGTATTTGTGGCAGAGCCCAGCCTATCACATCTGCCTGTCTCCTAAGTTTGGTTGTAAGTGAGGCAGTGGCCTCTGAGGCACAGCCCATGTGTGTAGTTCAATAGGGGGTCACGTGACTAAGGCTTGGCAAGGGAGCCTGCCTATAAATAGTACTAGGATATTTATATATATATATATATCCATAAAACAGTGCCTAACGCGTCAGTCTGGAATTTTACGACTCACCACGAGTTTAGTCCCCACCCATAGCATGGTTTATATAATTATATATTCTACAAAAGTATTGCACTGTTGACATGTTATTATCATGCATACTCTGTTCCTGTTTTCATCCTCTCTTAATATATAAGATTTCAGATGTGAGCCATTTTATAGCTCATCTTGCATTTTTCTCTTCAAGTATTTTCAGTATATAAAATTTTGGTCTAAAGTCTTTTTAAGGGATCTTCCCCATTGACACTTTCCATTCACTTTGAGAAATTTCAAAGATTTTTCAGGGAGGACTCCTTTGTTATCTTGAACATTCTTATAAGATCTATGATATTGTTGTGTTTGCTACTGTCACTTTTTTCCTTGTAAACATCCTCAGATAGTTTCTTCTCTATTTTTTTTTTAATATATAACAGTCATGTTATCTACAGTTAATCAGTTTTGAGAACTTTATTCTTGTCTCACTTGTATGTACAGATTGGCCAATTATTTTCTTTATCCTTATTTCTTTGTATTTTATCTTTCACACTTGGTTTGCTTCATAGAAACATGAACAGACACTTTTGTTCCATGGTTTTCTTCTGATATTTTTCACCTGATGTACATTCCACATCTCTTATGCAGCACTTAATAAGGCTTTTCAGTAACCCTACTACTTTTTAATAAATAAATATATAAATAATCATGAGCAGTCTCACAGACAAGAAACAGCAACTGAACGCCCTCTCAAGATTTCATAACATAGAGAAACCATATCAGTGTTCAGAGTGTCTAAAGACCTTTACACAAAAATCACATCTAACAGAGCACCTGAGAGTTCATACCAGACAAAAGCTATATCAGTGTCCAGTGTGCCTAAAGGCCTTTGCACGAAAATCATCTCTAACAAACCACCTGAGAGTTCATACTGGAGAGAAACCATATCAGTGTTCAGTGTGTCTGAAAGCCTTTATAAATAAAACAGATCTAACAGAGCACCTGAGAGCTCATACTGGAGAGAAACCATATCAGTGTATAGTGTGTCTAAAGGGCTTTACTCAAAAATCACATTTAAAAGATCACCTGAGAGTTCATACTGGAGAGAAACCATATCAGTGTTCAGAGTGTATGAAGGCCTTTACAGAGAAATCATCTCTAACAAACCATCTGAGAGTTCATACTGGAGAGAAACCATATCAGTGTTTAGAGTGTTCTAAAGCCTTTACAGAAAAATCATCTCTAACAAACCATATGAGAGTTCATACTGGAGAGAAACCCTATCAGTGTTCAGAGTGTATGAAGACCTTTACAGAAAAATCATCTCTAACAAGCCATCTGAGAGTTCATTCTGGAGAGAAACCATATAAATGTTCAGTGTGTCTTAAGACTTTCACACAAAAATCAAATCTGATAAAGCACATGATAGTTCATTCTGGTGAAAAACCATATCAGTGTTTAGAGTGTCTTAAGACTTTCACACAAAAATCAAATCTAATTAATCACCAGAGAATTCATACTGGAGAGAAACCTTATCAGTGCTCAGAGTGTCTGAAGACCTTTACACAAAACTCACATCTAACAAGGCATCTGAGAGTTCATACTGGAGAGAAACCGTATCAGAGTGTCTAAAGTCCTTTACAGACAATTTATTTTGGTTGCTGCACAGAGTAAATTGAGGTAGAACCCTCATACCCATCGATTCAGTTTCTGCAGTTTCAGTTATCTGCTGTTTACCCTGGCCCAAAAATATTAAATGGCAAATTCCAGCAATAAACGATTCATAAGTTTCAAATTGCATGCTACTGTGAGTAACTTGGTGAAACCTTCCCACTCCATCATGCTCAGTACATGACTTTTCTCTCTTTGTTTTCTGTACCCATGCTGGCCTGCTTTACTAGTATCCACTTAGCCTCTAGTGTTCTTCCTCTTTGCATTCATTTCTGCATCATTGCAATGTTGCTGTGAAAGTACCCCATAATTTTGCTTAATAATGACTCCAAAGAGCATAAGTAGTGATGTTGGCAGCTGTTCTTTGTAATGTCTTATTGCTTAATTTATCAGTTAATTCTTTTGGGCCACAGTAAACTGTGGAAACCTATTCCACGGATAGAGGGGTTCTACTGTATATACAGCAGCCCCCTCCATATTCATTAGCGATGTGTTCCAAGACCTACCATGTATACCCGAAACTACAGGGTTCCCTACTCCCTATGATAAATTGTAATTGATAAATTATGCACAATAAGACATTACCAACATTAAATAATAAGAATAATAATAAAATACATTGTATATTATTATACTTGTTAGGTAAAAGGACACAAGTACAACTAATATGACATTTTATTGTGGCAACGTTTCACTTTCTAGTAGCTGTGTCAAGTTCCTGGAGAGAGAAACGTTGCCACAATAAAATGTCACATTAGTTGCACTCGTGTCCTTTTGCCTAATGTATTGTCAGTAATTCTACCAACATTAATATATTATTATACTTGAGCTCTCTCTCACACACAGCTTTAATACATTTTTTTTTTCAACAAGTCGGCCGTCTCCCACCGAGGCAGGGTGACCCAAAAAGAAAGAAAATCCTCAAATTACCTCACTCACACATAATAACTGTTTTTACAGAGGTGCCCAGAATACAACAGTTTAGAAGTATATATAAGAACATAAGAACGAAGGAACACTGCAGCAGGCCTACTGGCCCATGCGAGGCAGGTCCAAGTCTCCTACTGGCTTAAGCCAATGCACCCAACCCAGTCAGGTCAGGTCACATTGACTTAAGGGAGGAACACGGCAACCGACCTGGTAGCACAAGCTATCAGGTCCAACTCACACCCACCCACATCCACTCATGTATTTATCCAACCTATTTTTAAAGCTACACAACGTTCTGGCCTCTATCACTGTACTTGGGAGTTTGTTCCACTCATCCACAACTCTATTACCAAACCATTACTTTCCTATATCCTTCCTGAATCTGAATTTTTCCAACTTAAAACCATTGCTGCGAGTCCTGTCTAGGCTAGATATTTTCAGCACACTATTTACATCCCCTTTATTTATTCCTGCCTTCCATTTATACACCTCAATCATATCCCCCCTAATTCTATGTCTTTCTAGAGAGTACAGATTCAGGGCCCTTAGTCTATCTTCATAGGGAAGGTTTCTGATACATGGGATCAACTTTGTCATCCTCCTTTGTACATTTTCCAGAGCATTTATATCCATTCTGTAATACGGTGACCAAAACTGTGCAGCATAATCTAAATGAGGCCTAACCAAGGATGTATAGAGTTGAAGAACAACCTGAGGACTCCTATTATTTATGCTTCTTGATATGAAGCCAAGGATTCTATTAGCTTTATTGCGAACACTTATGCACTGTTGTCTTGGTTTCAGATTACTGCTAACCAGAACTCCTAAATCTTTTTCGCAATCCGTAATATTAAGATCTACATTATTTAGTTTATATGTGGCATGGTTATTGTCCTGTCCAACATTTAGAACTTTGCATTTGTCTATATTAAACTGCATCTGCCACTTCTCCGACCACTGCATCAGTCTATTCTAATCTTCCTGGAGTGCTCTAATGTCCTCGTCAGAATGAATTTGATGGCCTATTTTGGTGTCATCGGCAAACTTGCTGATGTCGCTCTTTATGCCCTCATCTATGTCGTTTATGTAGATTGTGAACAGCAGGGGGCCCAACACTGACCCCTGTGGAACACCGCTCGTGACGCTTCCCCACTCTGATTTCTCCCCATTTATGCAAACTCTCTGCTGTCTATTTGTCAACCATGCCTCTATCCAGGAAAAAATTTCTCCTCCTATTCCATGTGCCTTAATTTTCCTCAATAGTCTCTGATGTGGGACCCTGTCAAAAGCCTTACTGAAATCCATATACACAATATCATATTCATTACCATGATCTACCTCCTCAAATACCTTAGTGAGCAAAGCTAATAAATTCGTAAAACCATGCTGAGATTCTTTGATTAATTTATGCTTTTCAAGGTGGCTACAAACTGCCTCGGCAATTATTGACTCCATAAATTTTCCCACTATGGAGGTTAGGCTTATTGGTCTATAGTTCAAAGCTAAGGACCTGTCACGTGCTTTGAAAATAGGTATCACATTTGCTATTTTCCACTTACCTGGCACCATGCCAGTTTGTAGTGATATGTTAGCCCTTGTGGCTTAGCGCTTCTTTTTGATTTGATTATAATAATAATGTAGTGATATGTTGAAAAGATTAGCCAAAGGTTTGCTAAACTCCTCTTTACATTCCTTTAGAACCCTTGCATACAGTTCATCAGGGCCTGGGGATTTGTTAGGTTTTAATTTATCTATTTGCCTAAGGACCATGTCACTTGTGACCCTAATCGTGCACAGTTTATTATTGTCCTGTTCTACATAATTTATCATTTCTGGAATATCGCTGGTATCCTCCTGTGCAAAACTGAGAGGAAGTATGTGTTAAAAATTCTACACATTTCCTTATCACTGTCAGTGAGCTGACCCGAGGAACTTTTGAGTGGGCGTATCTTGTCCCTGATCTTACTTCTGTATACCTGAAAGAATCCTTTTGGGTTAGTCTTCGATTCTCTTGCAACTTTAACCTCATAATCTCTTTTTGCTTTTCTAATTCCCTTTTTTTATTTCTCTCTTTAACTGAATATTTTGATTTCTTAATTACCCCTCTCCTCTTTTGATTTGCCTATATATGCCTCTCTTTTGACCAATCAGATATTTTAATCTATTGTTCATCCATTTAGGATCATTTTTATTTGATCTGATTTCCCTATTTGGAACATAATTTGACTGAGCAGCTAGAACTATGCCCTGGAAAGCGTCAATATCCCAAACCCCTTCTTTAGAGTGCAGGCATTGTACTTCCCATTTCCTTAAAAAATATTTTAGCCTATTGTGTGTACTTCCAGTCTTCCTGTTAGGCTATGATGTGATGATACAATTCCTATGATGGTGAGATAAAGTGAGGTGATGGTGTAGGCATTGTAACATTGTGTTAGTCTGTTGACCTGGTGAAAAGTCAGTAGTAGACATGGTTCGTTTTTCAACCTTTTGGAAAAGCATTGTGATAGGAAGTTGTCATGTTCAGCTCATCAAACAGTTGCCAGAGAGGTTCTAAAGCTTCAAAGCAAAAAAGAATAAAAATTTTTTTTTATTAACACATTGGCCAATACCCACCAAGGCAGGGTGGCCCGAAAAAGAAAAACTTTCATCATTTACTCCATCACTGTCTTGCCAGAAGGGCGCTTTACACTACAGTTATAAAACTGCAACATTAACACCCCTCCTTCAGAGTGTAGACACTGTACTTCCCATCTCCAGGACTCTAAGTCCGGCCTGCCGGTTTCCCTGAATCCTCTCATAAATGTTACTTTGCTCACACTCCAACAGCACGTCAAGTACTAAAAACCATTTGTCTCCATTCACTCCTATCAAGTACACTCATGCACGCTTGCTGGAAGTCCAAGCCCCTCGCACACTAAACCTCCTTTACTCTCTCCCTCCAACCCTTCCTAGGCTGACCCCTACCCTGCCTTCCCTCCACTACAGATTTATACACTCTCAAAGTCATTCTGTTTTGTTCCATTCTCTCTACATGTCCGAACCTCCTCAACAACCCCTCCTCAGCCCTCTGGATAATAGTTTTGGTAATCCCACACCTTCTCCTAATTTCCGAACTACGAATTCTCTGCATTATATTCACACCACACACTACCCTCAGACATGACATCTCCACTGCCTCCAGCCTTCTCCTCGTTGCAACATTCATCACCCATGCTTCACACCCATACAAGAGTGTTGGTACAACTATACTCTCATATATTTCCTTTTTTGCTTCCATGGACAAAGTTCTTTGTCTCCACAGATTCCTAAGTGCACCACTCACTCTTTTTCCCTCATCAATTCTATGATTCACCTCATCTTTCATAGACCCATCCGCTGACACGTCCACTCCTAAATATCTGAATACATTCACCTCCATACTCTCTCCCTCCAATCTGATATCCAGTCTTTCATCACCTAATCCCTTTGTTATCCTCATAACCTTACTCTTTCTTATATTCACTTTCAATTTTCTTCTTTTACATACCCTACCAAATTCATCCACCAACCTCTGCAACTTCTGTTCAGAATCATCCAAGAGCACAGTGTCATCAGCAAAGAGCAACTGTTACAACTCCCACTTTGTGTTTGATTCTTTATCTTTTAACTCCACACCTCTTGCCAAGACCCTAGCATTCACTTCTCTTACAACCCCATCTATAAATATATTGAACAACCACGGTGACATCACACATCCTTGTCTAAGGCCTACTTTTTCTGGGAAATATTCTCCCTCTCTCCTACATACTCTAACCTGAGCCTCACTATCCTCATAAAAACTCTTCACTGCTTTCAGTAACCTACCTCCTATACCATACACCTGCAACACCTGCCACATTGACCCCCTATCCACCCTGTCATATGCCTTTTCTAAATCCATAAATGCCACAAAATCCTCTTTACCCTTATCTAAATACTGTTCACCTATATGTTTCACTGTAAACACTTGGTCTACACACCCCCTACCTTTCCTAAAGCCTCCTTGTTCATCTACTATCCTACTCTCTGTCGTATTCTTAATTCTTTCAATAATAACTCTACCATACACTTTACAGACTTATTCCCCTATAATTTTTGCACTCTCTCTTATCCTCTTTGCCTTTATACAAAGGAACTATGCATGCTCTCTGCCAATCTCTAGGTACCTTACCCTCTTCCGTACATTTATTAAATAATAGCACCAACCACTCCAAAACTATATTCCCTCCTGCTTTTAACATTTCTATCTTTATCCCATCAATCCCTGCTGCCTTACCCCCTTTAATTCTACCCACTGCCTCACGAACTTCTCCGCACACTCACAACTAGCTCTTCCTTACTCCTACAAGATATTATTCCTCCTTGCCCTATACATAAAATCACAGCTTCCCTATCTTCATCAACATTTAACAATTCCTCAAAATATTCCCTCCATCTTCCCGATACCTCTAACTCTTCATTTAATAACTCTCCTCTCCTATTTTTAACTGTCAAATCCATTTGTTCCCTAGGCTTCCTCAACTTATTAATCTCACTCCAAAACTTTTTCTTATTTTCAACAAAATTTATTGATAACATCTCACCCATTCTCTCATTTGCTCTCTTTTTACATTGCTTCACCCTCTTCAAGGGGGGCTCCTTGGCATGGTGAAGAAGCTCTTGGTCTGAGGAATTAGACCTGTCGGTCTTCTTCCTCAGACCGAACCTAATTACCCCCCAATCCCCCGTTCCCTATCCCATCCTCCCCATCCTCCCCTTTTTCCTTTCCTCCTCCTCCTCCTCCCCACCCCTCCCTTTTGCCCTTCCTTTTTTTTTTTTTTTTTTTTTTTTTTTCCCACAGGCATGCTAGTTCCTAGGTAGGGGAAAGGGTACCGGGGTCCATCCCATTCCGTTGAGGTTCTTGGTGGTGGCGTAGTTTGCCGTGGAATCTGGATTGCCTGGGGATGTCCTGATCCCTCTCCGGTATCCCGGAGGGTGGCTTTGGGTGTCTCTCGGGCGACGGGTGTATCTCTGGAAGCCACCTTTCGGATTCCGGGGGTGGTGGCCGAAGGAGGTATGCTTTGTGGCGGATTTCCGGCCGCCCTCTCTTTTGTCCACCGAGGTAGCTCGGCAGATGTGAGATTGCTATCCCGGATTGCCGGTTTACTGGCATGATGGGTAGGGTATGGCACGGGTTCCATGCTGCATCTGCGCTACTTGCGGTGCTGAGGTCCTCTTGGGCACGGAGGGAGATTTCTGGCCCTTTTATTCCTCCTAGGAACTATCCCTCCCCAGTCCCCCCTTTTTTTATTCTTTTTTTTATTTTTATTTTCTTTTCTTTCTTTTTTTTTCTTAAAAACAAAAAGAAAGAAGTAACCTAACCATGGCAGCCCTAGTCCATGAACCTGCTACCCCCGGGCCCCTTCTTGATACCGCACCCCGTTCTGACCCCGCCTCGTCTTTGGACCACTCTTCGGACACTCCTCATGCCTCTGTACCTCTTGCCGGTGCTGTTTCCTCACCCGCATCAGGAACTGAGGCCTCGACTGACTCCTTCAATTTATCTGACCTTCGCTCTCCTCTGACTATGCTTCCGGACTCTCCCTCTACGGTGCGGCAATTTTCGAATCGCCGGCCCGTTCCACGTCGGACCAACTCTGGTCCCACGCCTAAACGACAACGA